CCTCTCCTCTCCTCTCCTCTCCACTCCTCTCTCTTTATTGAGACAGAGCGTCACTCTGTCACCCGGGCTGGAGTGGGAGTGCAATGGCACAATCTCAGCTCACTGCAACCTCTGCCTCCTGGTCTCAAGCAATTCTCGTGCCTCAGCCTCCTGAGTAGTTGAGATTACAGGTGTGTGTCACCATATCCAGCTAATTTTTGTATTTTTAGTAGAGACGGGGTTTCACCATGTTGGTCATGCTGGTCTTGAATTCTGTTCTCAAGTGATCTGCCTGCCTTGGCCTCCCAAAGTGCTGGGATTACAGGTGTGAGCCACCGCACCTGGCCTGTTTTCCTAATTTATTTTCTACTTTATTGGCATAGCCTTGAGAGAGAAAGGTGTGATGTTCTGAATGCTATGCAAACAAAGTTTCTTGGGTCCTAATGTTTCCTCCAAAATCATATATTTCCTAAAATATGTAAAGTTTTAATCTAGTAGGCGAAGGCCAGCAATGTTGTGGTTTTGGCTGAAAGCATGAACACTAAAGGTTCTCACCCTCCATATCTGTGCATATTTGTACAGTGTGCGGGGTTGGTAGGAAGGGAGGAAGGTGTGAGTAGCAAGTGAGGTGGTAAGAGACAGAGGTGGAAGTGGGCATTTGAGTTATAAAGCAGGCATGAAGGAGATACAGCTGCTGAGGTGGTAACAATGAACATTTTTAGGTCACTATACCTCATTATATTTCAACTATTTGATGGAAGAGAAAGTTAAAGTCCTAAAATATAGGGGCTGGTATGTAAAATGAGTCTGTTTTTAGTGAGTCCGTGCAAAAAGTGGCATTAACTAAGAATCCAAATGAATTTATCAACTTCTAATGGAATTATTTATATATTTTTCTCAAATATTATCATTTCTTAAATTGTATTATATCATGCTATTGACCAGTTAATTGGATAGTGGTGATGTTTAGGAAGCTAGAAACTATTTTGATCAGATTGGTGACTAAAAACTATATGTGTTCTGACTACTTTTGGAAGACAATTCTCTGTGGGTCTCTTGTGTTTCTTCATGTTTTACAAGCAGAGACACTGACTGTCGTTGTTCCAGATCAGTAGTCAGCAAGGTTTGTGGCCCACAGGCCAAGTCTAGCCTATGACCAGTTTTTGTGTGGCTTGTGAGTTAAGAAAGTTTTTATATTTTTAAAGAGTTGTAAACCAAGAACAACAAAAACAATAAGAATGTCAAGGACAGTGAAGAGGAATACTTGGAGATTTGTTGTGGCCAGCATAGTCTAAAATATTTACTATCTGACCTTTTACAATAGAATTTTCCTCTGTTATAGATTATCTTTTCAAGCACATTTGCAGAGTAAACAGCCTTGGAAAATATATAGTATCTCCCCTTGGAATAAAAGGGCAGGTGTTACCTGGCCCATTTGCTTCTGCCCTGTGGGAATTGGGTGGCAGAGAGTCAGTGTGAAAACAATGGTATTGTGGCTACCACTACTGCCATGAGCAACAAACTGTCCTTTATCTCTGACTTAGGGGTCTCATATCTTCTGCCAGCATCCACTGGCAGGCTAACTTGTTAGACTGCGAGTAGAGTTAAAATGTCAGACCCTTCACAAATCTTGTTACCTACTTGAAGAGTTAATCTGGATTTGCAAAAGAAAGAGAAAAAGAAACCCACAGTAGACATTCATGAGTTATTCATTTATAACTATAGATTATTTACTTCACTAGAAATATGAGAGGGAAAAATATAAAGGATAAAAAGTGTATTAGGATGACATCTAGATCTTTTTAAGGTTACCTTGTATGATAAAGTTTTCTTGAATTGCTCACTGAAACAGAAAAAAAAAGAATTAGTCATCATTCTAAATATTAAGAGTAAAATAATCTTGAAGAAACTAAATTATATAAATAGTCTTTGTATGTAAAAAGTATAAAATGCTATGGTAAAGTAAAAACTATGCCAGTTTGAAATGCTTTTATAAAAAGATAGAAAAGCATATCATCAATATGTTATCAATTTTAAGAAATCTATTCCACAGATTGTTTACAATGTTAGAGAAGCACTTTTTTTGTCTCTACACCTCATGGGAACACTAAGATCCAGGTGTTTTAACATGTGGCACAGCCAACTGATCAGGAGCAGACTGCCATTGAAAAGATACTTTATTACTCACAGTTCCCCAAGAAGAGGCGGCACGCCATGTGATGAAGGGCCACATGGGGAAACACCAGTATAGGTTAGGAGGCAGAGGTTTCCATGGGAAGAAAAAGGTGAGGTAAGCAGGTTTGAGAGTGCCTAGTTTGAACAATATCAGTGAACTCAGGCATAGCGCTGTTCCTACTTGTTTGATATCTGGCCCTAGGGTAGTAGGATGGGGGGATAGTGGTCTGGAAGTAGTAAGAGTTTGATAAAGGAGGTAGTTGTGGGGTAAGGGCTCTGGGTTGGTTGGTTTACTTATGCAAGGTATGCTTGTTCATAAGACCTTTACTATCTCTAGGAATTGGTTAGCCCTGGGAGGAACAGTCTCTCCAGGATCAGCAAATAATAAAACATCAGAAAATTTAAAAAGGTGTGATTAATACATCAGGAAATCACTGTTGTCATAGCTAATAAAGATAAACATATATTCCATAAACATTGTCTTTTATTAATGCTATAGCCTTCACTCTTAAGTCATTCAAAAACATTAACTTATACATTTGATACTAAATTTATTAGTGTCAATTAGTTTGTTTGAAATGAGTACTTCTTTCCACATACTGTAGAAACAGTATGCTATTTATAAATTCCCAACTCTATTTTTGGTGATTGAGATAGGTCTTATTCACAAAGAAACTTCCTAAAGAGATCAGTTCAAAGGACAAGGGAGGACAAATGTCAGTAAATCTACATAGGTGTGAAAAAGACGGGAAGTGGTAGTAACATACTGTAAAGGTCACCAAACGTTGAAGTCAAGCCCAGGCACTGTGGTGACCTGGCCAGATGTGCGTGCACTCAAGGTGGTGCTGACATGCCAGCCCCCACCCCCGCCTCAGCCGCCTCTAGACTTTGGGCGCTGATGAGCATGAGAGGGAGGCCAAGGGGGGACTGAGGGCAGCTTGACATGGGCCTGTAGGCACCCCTTGGCACAAACAGTCTGGGTGCCATGGGCGCCATGGATGGTAGGTTGACGGCAACAGGAGGCAGACAGGCTCCTAGGTAGAAAGGGGCAAGTCCCTGGTGAAGCCCCACCATCAACTGAGGAATGGCCCGAAGCCTGGAGCCCAGGCTGCCAGCTCTGTGGACCAAAGTGAGAACTTATAGTGCTTTTTCCAGGCCCACCCATGGCCATCCATGGACCAATCAGCATGCACTTCCTTCCCTCTGGAGTCCATAAAAACCCCAGACTCTGCCAGACTTGGGCAGACAATGGATGATCTGCCTGTAGAAAGAAGCTACCCACTCTGGATCTCTTCTCTGCTGAGGGTTGCAGAGATGAGGGGAGGGGAGGGGAGGGGAGAGGATGACCTGCCTGCAGAGAACAGCTCCCCACTGTGGGTCTCCTTCCATCTGAGAGCTGAGTAGACATTGGGATGATCTGCCTATGGAGAGAAGCTACCCTCTGTGGGTCTCCTCTCGGCTGAGAGCTGAGCAGACATTGGGATGACTATCTGTGGAGAGGATCTACCCATTTTGTATCTCCTGAGAGCTGTACTGTTGCTCAATAAAGCACCTCTTTGCCTTGCTCATCCTCCAATTGTCTGTGTACCTCATTCTTCCTGGATTTGGGACAAGAGCTCAGGAACTGCCAAATGGCAGGACTAAGAGTTGTAACACAAACAGGGCTGACATGCCCCTTTGCCCCCAAATATACCCACTTGCCATGTTGCAAGCATGAGGAGAGAAGAGAGGAGAGAAGAGATGCGGCCCTTCAGGGAACCCAGACATAGAAGCTCCCTGAGCCAGGGCTGTGACACCCTCTGAGGGGCTCTGCGGCTCCTGGCATTTCCAAGCTTCTGGTTGCCACCGTGTTCCCTAGTGCTCACAGTGGAAGCTGCTTTCAGTACACCTGGTCCGGCTGCAGCCTCACAGGGAACCAGCACCCATGCTGGTGCCTGGAGATGCCTGCCCCATAGTGGCCAGCATGCCTGGCTGTGTGAAGTGGCCGGACCCTGTGCTTGCTCATTTATGTACCCCTCACCACTCTGTACCTGACTCATCTTTGGCAGGTGTGGGATCTGGGCTGGTAGTGCAAGCCAAGAGCAGCCTTCCAGGCTGAGTGAGCGGAATGAGCCCAGTGGGCCCAAGCAAAACTCAGGCAAAGGCGCCACCAACCACAGAGGTTCCAGCTGGCAAAGCAATGCCCCAAGAATCCTGTGACATTACTACCATTATTAGCAACAGTTCATATTTATTGAGTACTTATTATTGCCACTTCTAAAGGCTTTACACATATCATTAAATTTTCACAAAAACCTTGAGGTAGTTATTATCATAACCCTCATTTTGTAGATGAGAAAACTAAGGTAAAAAGAGTTTAAGTAATTTGCCTTATAAAATGATAAGGAGCTAGTATTTTCCCCCAGGCACTATACTTCCAGGTCCTAAACACTTTACTGTACTTGACTGCCTCTCATAGGTATTACAGTTATAGTTTTAAATTTATTCAGAAATACAGAGAGAAGTGCTAAAGCCGATAGACTTCTAGTTGCCTGACTCCTGGATAGCCTTGCTTCTAAATTTCAGCAAAAACTGGATCCAAGGGAAAAATCAGGGACAAACATAAAGGAGTTCTTCTCTTCCTTATACAATTTATAAACAAAATTTGACATTGTGAAAAGAGGAAATGAGCTCCAAATGAAGTCATTGCAACTTTATATCAAACAAGTTTTGTGTCCTGGCTTATACCCATGCTGGTGTCTTAGGTAGAACACTAAATTTCTCACCTTTTTGGAAAATTAAACTTTGAGGTGTTCTGAATGAAACCATAACAGCAAGGGCATGTGACGAAGGAAGCCCGTGTTTTGATACAGTGCTCAATCACCATGTCTGTTGCCACTCCACAAGCATGCAATGCTACCTAGAAAATAAAAACAGGCCTTAGCACTAAGTTCCCTCTTAACTCACAGTGCGATTTTCATGCCTTTTAAATAGTTCTCATTTGGCCATACCAAAGGACTACTTAGTTACACATATAAATTAATTAGGAAAACTAAGCAAGTTTGAAAGGTTACACATGGAATATTGCAAATAAAGCACAGGATTCATTCAATGGAAAATCTGATGCAATTTTAGTGTGGAAAAATTAACACAAGTGGATATCTAAACTATAGCATCATTCCAGGAACACTGGATTCGAAACGAGAATTTCGAGTCTATTACTCTGGTTGGCTGTGTAACCCTGAGCCACTTAAAATTTAGCTTCTTTGGGCCTTAATCTCTTCAACTATAAATGATGGTTAACAATACTGACATATCACAATGCTGTTGTAAAAATTAAATAAAAATGTATTTGAAAACACTTCCTCAAATGCCACATTAATATAATCCAATCAGGGCTGTATTAAAACTAATTGAGTCATATCATGTCATGCCTTTTAAGATGTTTTCACATAATAACAATCCTTAACATTGAATGATGAGTTACAGGAACTATTTTCAATGAGTTTATTTTAAAAGGATTGAATGAAATTATGAATTAGAATAATGAGTGGGGCTTCTATAACTCATAAAAATAACTCAAAATGATTTTTAAGTGTTTTTAAAACACATATCCTTAAGTATATCTATACTTACTACAATCTTACTACAAATGAGATAATTATGAAAATTCTTAGGCCAAATAAAGCCTAAATAGGACTCTGAATGAAAATCAGACGTAGGGATTCTAAAAGATGAATAACCTTTACTGGATTTTGGCAAAACAAACAAACAAAAAACACAACACCAAAAAACCCCTCACATCTCCATTTCATTCTGAACAGACATAAATTGTAATAAATTATAATCTTCCCTCACCAACTTCAGGGTAGGGAGGGGCCCTTAGGGTAAAGAGGAGATTTTCTGTAAATTTTAGAAAGTAATTTTTTTTTTTTTTTTTGGTGAGCTAGAGTTTTGCTCTTGTTGCCCAGGCTGGAGTGCGATGGCACAATCTCAGCTCACTGCAACCTCCGCCTCCCAGGTTCAAACGATTCTTCTGCCTCAGCCTCCCGAGTAGCTGGGATTGCAGCATGTGCCACCACGCCTGGCTAATTTTGTATTTTTAGTAGAGCTGGGGTTCCACCATGTTGGTCAGGCTGGTCTTGAACTCCCGACCTCAGCCTCCCAAAGTGCCGGGATTACAGCGTGAGCCACCGCACTCCGCGAACGTAAAATATTATAAGCCAGATGCCTCCTTTGAACTGGAAAGCTAAAAACAATACTCTATCAGGAAGAGGAAAGCAAGATCTCTGTTCTTTTTTATTTATTTATCTATTTATTTATTATTATACTCTAAGTTCTAGGGTACGTGTGCACAACGTGCAGGTTTGTTACGTATGTATACATGTGCCATGTTGGTGTGCTGCACCCATTGATCTCTGTTCTTAATTGTCCTCCTGAATTCCTCCTCCTCCTTCTAGACTTACATGAGCCACATAGAAGTCAACAATCTCCATGTTGCTGTCATCCCACCTTTCCTGTTTCACTCTGAAAACAGCCTAGGAAGGCTGGTATCCAGTAAAGGCACCAACAACTACAGGGAATTGGGAAAGTAAATAATCTTGATTTCTCATATGCTCCTTTTGGTCAGCTTTTTCGAGTAAAAAACAGGCTAATCCTTATTTTCATGACTAGTTGGAGAAAAATTTCATAGTAAAAATTATAGACACATCTTCCCCTGGAAGGAAAGCAAACTGACATTTACTGAGTGTTTATGTGCTGGCATTATGCTATGTGGGGTGATGGCACTCAGAACTATACTCACAACATCCCTGAAAGACTTTATTATCTCCAGTTTAGATGTGAGGAAATGAAGTCTTGGGAAATTAAGAACTTGCCCACAACAAAACAGCTACTGAGGGGCAGGAGACTGACCTCAAAGCCTGACCCCATGCATCAGACAGCTTCTCTACAAAACCCTGTTCAGGCTCCAAGCAAAAAGGAGTTTAGACAATTTACTTTTATAAGTCTCTCTTTACTTAGGTTCACATTCCTTTCACTACATGCAAAAAAGTGAGTTTATTTCCTTCATTTAAAGAAAATAAGTAACTTGAATAAGTATTTACCCAATAGTTTATAGATAATGTAGTAATTGTCTACTCATAAAAGGTTTTACTGCATCACATACTCCTAGTTTTCACTGTTATCAAATGAAACTCAGAAATAACAGGCAAATAATGAAGAGAGATATAGACCAAAAAAACCAATTGCTATGGAAATTTATCATACAATAAAGGTGGTATTTCAAACCAGAGAGAAAAGGTGGACTTTTTAAAAATAAGTAATGTTTGGTTAACCAGATAGCCATATAAAAAACTAAAAATTAGATCTTTTCCTGTCATCACACATGGGAAATAAATTTTGAATGCATAAGAGATTTAAAATGCAATAAATATGAGTAAATTCCTGCACAACCAAGGGGAATGGGATGTAATTCCTAACTAAGCTAAAAATCTACGTGCAATAAGGGGTAAGGTTAATAAATCTGACAAGATAAAATTTATTTTTATTTATTTATTTTTGAGATGCAGTTTTGCTCTTGTCACCCAGGCTGGAGTGCAATGGTGTGATCTCGACTCCCTGCAACCTCTGCCTCCCGAGTTCAAGCAATTCTCCTGCCTCAGCCTCCCAAGTAGCTGGGATTACAGGTGCCTGCCACCACACCCAGCTATTTTTTGTATTTTTAGTAGAGACGAGCAGAAAACCAAACCATAAGTAAAAAGACAAATGACAAAGTAGGGAAAAGACTGACAACTTAAAACACAAACAAAGATTTATATCCTTAATATATAACACACTTCTAAAAAGAAAGAAAAAGCCCAATAAAGTGAGAGTAAAATGAGCAAGAGATGTGAACACACATACAAAAACAAGCAAAGAGTCCTTAAACAAAAACTGGTCAATATTGCTCCAAGTAAGAGAAATAACTGTTAATTTTTTTTTAACAAAGAGCCAAAATTTAAACTCAATCTGTCTGACTTCAAACCAAACTTCTTTTTTTAGTTCTCTATGCTCTATTTACTCTTTTCTTTAGATATGGGAAGTAAACAGGAAGTCACTGACTGGACTTCTAGACCCCGCTCCCACATTAACTTGCTAGGTGACTCTTGTTTTCTGGTAGCCTCAAATTCTCCATCTGTAAAAGCAGAAGGTTGAACTGAATGATCTCTGAACTTGCCCCAGTCCAATCATTCTCTCTGGCGTTGCTTTTCGAAGAAGGATTCTTAACTATAGATACCTTAGACAGAGAAGCAGGCTAGTCCCACCTGTGCACTCTTGTTCCCCTCTTTTAAAACTTTCATACAACAATATTATAGGTAATCAGCTTTAAAATTCAAATAATAGGTAACTGCTAAAAGGTAAGCAATTATATTAAAAGCCCCTTTTTTGTACACACTGCCACACCCCTAAAAGAAAATCTGTGTACCAAAGTCAATGCTGTTCAATTCATTGGTTTACTTCCTGAAAATCTGTTTTTCTATATGATGAATGTATATTGATATCTCTTGATTTGTAAATATTAGACATTATTTATTATCTTTCTACTAGGAGAAAAGACCTTTTGGCTTTTTATGCACATTTATACACTATCTTCCCTTTTCCCATCTTTTCTCATCGCTTTGTATATACTGTTCACGGCCGAGGGAAGAGTGCTGGATATCTGCTTGTTTTTTTAACATTCAAGTCGTTCCCTGCCCAAAAGCTCTGTAAAATGCTCTACAATATAATTTTCCACTGTTTGAAAACTTTCAAATAATTGGTCAGCTCCATTTTTCTTTCCTAGAGACATCTTTCCTGGGCTTTCTGATGTTTTACTAAAATATGGACTCAATGCTTTCTAGGCCTGTTGCCCAGCTCTTGCCCTAAGACTTCCGTCTCCCGTGATGCTAAAAAATTTTCTCTTGTATTGGATACCACTTAATCCTTTTTCTCATTTACTTTCTATTTTAATGAAGCACATTATCTAGTAGCTTGCTGAAAAGGGGTACGCACAATTTCCATTTTACTGAGACCTTGACTGTTGAATTTTTATTTATTTTACTTTTTTACTAGATTGATGGATTAGCTAGGTATAGAATTTGAGATTAGAAATTTTCTATTGGAATTTTCGAGGTGCTGTTTCACTGTCATCGAGCCTTCCACACTACTATTAAGAAGTGTGATAGCATTTTGATTATCAATTATTGTATATCACTATTTTTTTTTCCCTCTGTGGAAACAGTTGGGAAAATCTGTTCACCCTTGGTGTTCTGAAATTTCACAATGTGCCTTGGCTTAGGCTATTTTGTAAGTTAACTTTATCAAGAGAAACGCATTCTTAATTATTAACACATTTTCCTATATTTTCTTTGATGTATTCCTCCCCACCATTTACCAGTTTTCTTTTTCTGGTCCTGCTATTACTGAGGTATTTGATTCCTGGACTAAATCTCTAATTAAAAAATTTGCTTCTTTCCAGTTTCATTTTTTCTTCTTTTTTTTTTTTTCAAGTGGTATCCTATATTTCTTTTAAAAAAATACATTATCTCTTAATTTTTAATTTGTTTTCAATTTTGGCTAACATACTTTTATTTTTCAAGACATCCTTTCTTTTTCTCTGATCATTCACTCTTTTTCTATTATATCCTTATTTCACTAATGTATTATCTTCTCTTGTCTCTCCTTGACTAAGACCCTTTATCATGTTTGTTGCTTTGGTCTTGGTATGGTTTGACTATGTCCCCACCCAAATCTCATCTTGAATTGTAGCTCCCATATTTCCCACATGTCATGGAAGGGACCCAGTGGGAGGTAACTGAATGATGGGGGTGGATCTTTCCCATGCTGTTCTCATGATAGTGAATAAATCTCATGAAATCTGATGGTTTTATAAAGGGGAGCTCCCCCGCACATGCACTTGTCTGCTGCCATGTAAGAAATGACTTTGCTCTTCATTCGCCTTCCTCTATGATTGTGAGGCCTCCCTAGCCATGTAGAACTGTGAATCAATTAAACCTCTTTCCTTTATAAATTACTCAGTCTTGGGTATGTCTTTATTAGCAGTGTGTGAACAGACTAATACAGGTCTCTATCTTCCATTTTGGAAGTTTTCCATGTTTGGTATTCCTTTAGCTGTTCATATTAAAGAATAAACCACTAAAAAGTTGATTGGAAGTTCTGAATGAAAGCGTAAGGCTTTGAAAACTGGTGGGCTTCACTAGTGACTGGGTGATCAAAAAGCCTGGACAGGTGCCTTTTTTTTTTTTTTTTTTAAATTATAGCTGCAGTATCTGTAGTTCTTTTCTCTGGGGATAGTTCTGCTTCTACAGAGGGGAATCTTTTAATCCTGATGATTGTGGAAATGATCCTGTTTCTGTGGTTCTGGAATTAGAAGGCAGATGGGTAGGGAAGAGATCTATCTGTCAGTATGCAGATTCTCATTTAATTCTTATTCTTGGTATGGCACATCACCGTTGCCCTTCTCTATGCCTATCTCTATACTTGGTGCCTCTCTGGTTCAGTTTCTTCATAGAATAAACTTCCTGTCTCTCTTAGTAGCTGGGGAGAGGTAGTTTCTTGTTTACACAAGATGAGAGCAGGAATCTTGTCTCTAAATAATATTTTTAATTAAACATGATTTCAGTCCCTCCCTATTCATTTCCTCTGAGGTTTCACATGTCCTGAATTCCTAAACTTTTCTGGGATTCTGTGGGAGCAAAGTGGTTTGCATCCTGACAGCCTTCTTGCCACTCCATCTGGCATGCATTTCAACTTTATCTTCCTTCTCTTCTACTCAATAGCTTACCATTTTTCTTCAATCTGCTTTTCACCTTCTTACTTCATATTGTAATTCAAGTTATAGAATGTTGAATATAGCTACATCATAGATAGAGTTTGATTTTTCTGATTCTTGTTCTTATTTAGGGATCTGAAAGTTTTCGGGGAGAAGTGGGGTTGAAATACCTCTATCTGCTATTTTCATCTCAGAAGTCCTCTATTTTGCCTTAATGATTTTTAGAAAGCGTGCCTGCAGGATATATAATTTCTCAAGGTCCTTATCTTTTAAAACAAGGATTATATAATTACTCATCAAAAATGTTACGAAGTGCAGTCTATAATTGCATGCTTCTTTTAATTGTACACTAACCTACATGAATAGAAATGAGCTTATAATTAAGTAGTCAGCACTTATGAGTCATAAACAATAATTAAAAATTATGTTGTGGGCAAAATAGCAAAAAGCAAATACCAATAACTAGAAAATAAAACTGTTTTTTGAGATTTTCATATACATGTTGATGAATAGAAAGGATTCACCAATACTGTTAGAAATCAGTACCTTATCATCTGGTTGAAATGACTGTTTGTTATTGTTGAAATTTTCCAACTAAACATGTTGGTGGCAGGCTGTTTAGCCTTCATATAGTTTTTGTTTTTAATGCAAAATGAGCATTTTTCCATAGTCATGGCCCTTTATGTAATACTATTTGCAAATAAATATTTGTAATATTGTTTGAGAGCATGAGTATTAATACACATATTATAAAACTTAATAATTTAAAAAGACTTAGTTGTTTCTAAGTCTTAAAATTCCTTCATTAAAATCTTGTTTATACTATTAATTTTTTTATCTAAAGAAAAATCGTAAATGAAAAAAATAAAGCATTTACTAAGCAAAGATAAATGCTAACTAAGTCTTTACTGAAATATCACAAAACCATGAATTTATGCAGTTTTAATGCATTTCTAATATCTGGTTATTCTGCTTTCTTCTCTAGCCACACTATTTTTTAAATTTGTGTGTGTGTATTTTACTGAACAGCCACACTAGTTTTACTGGAATGCATTTAACACAGGAGTTAGAACCTCTGAAGCATTTAGTCTGATTTACCTAGTGACAATACCTCAATTACTCTCCTAGGCAAATTATTTTCTTCAGAGTGAATCTACTTTTAATTTAACCTTCTAAGCAATTTTAATCCATTTTCTATACACCTTGACAAGGGTAATTATGAAAGGAAAAAAGTCATTACAGATGTATTACGAAATGTAGAGAAAAATTTCACTTCCAAAGAGACAGATACATTTTTAGTTGGCATTAGTAAATTATACACTTGGAAGTTACAAGAATATACTAGAGTGATTTTGTATCTGTAAGTCATGAAGGGCCAAGAGACAGATGGACCAGACATAGGCTGGAAATTCCATGCTTTGTGAGGTAAATAAATGTGTAGCAGTAGACATTTACTTGCTACCACTCTGTCTGGTGTACTAGTAATACCTGGACTGGTTTAATGGCTTGTTTCATGGGAGAAGCTCTAAACTTTACCTCAACATTTATGTAAAGTTAAAGCTGCACAGGTATATTTTTAATTTGAATTTTCTAGATTACATGTCTACATTTTCCTGAATTTCCTTATTAATAGCCAGGCTTATACAGACAGAAGTAAACTGTAGATCATGTCTACAAAGGAAACCAATAGCATACTTTTTAGGTTGAAAAAAAATTACAATAAACCCCCAAATTTGCAGTAGTCAATATTTAAGAAGTAAACTTCACTGGGTAAAAATCAGAAATACTATAAAAGGTCTGAATTACTTAAGTTGATAAAAGTTCTACCTAGACAACCCCATGTTTATATGAACACATGTAATTAGAAAGGATGTCAGTAAGAACCTTCCTGGAAAGTGGTTTGGCAAATGCATCAAAATTCTTAAAGGATGCACAAAATATCCATAATAGTAATAATTGCATTATAACAATGAGAAAATAAAAGTATGATTAAAAAGGTAAAAGACTGTATTCAGTCAATGCAGGATCTATGTAGTATGGTCTTTACAATGTTCATATATGTGTAAAATATGCATTTATATGTGTGCATAAATATATAAACACTAAAGATTTTTGATAGTATTTATCACTTGATAATAGGCATATAGGTTATTTCTTCTTTATATTATATATTTTTCTGTATTACTATCAAAATGTATATTCCTATCAAAATCAGAAAAAAAATTATTTAAAGCAAATAGAAATAGCAGCAACACTAACATGTTCATAAAACTCAAATTCTACAAGAAAGAATAAAACCCTGGGGTTTAATGCTCAGGCAGAAATACATATCTTAGGGATTTTTCATAATATCAAATAATAACAATTGGATCCAAAGGTTTAGAAACACGATCAATATACTTTCTCTCTTGGAATCTGAAAATACATGTAAATATAAAATCTTAGCTAAAAAACATCACAAGGAAATGCTTGTATTTAGAGATTACTAACAAGTTATTTTTCTTTTCTTTTCTTCTTTTTTCTTTTCCTTCATTGTCTTCTAGAAATGCAGAATAAACCAAGGCAAGTCATGTTCATCAGAATCAATTACTCAATTATTAACCAGTTTTAAGCACCTGCTACTGGGGATTCTGTAGTGAAGAAAATAAAGTTCTGGTCTGATAGAGGAGCCAATGTTATCTCTATTATGTAATGACGAAGTGCTATGAATAAAATAATATTCATTAGTATGCTATATTTCATAGATAATATAAGTATACAAAATTATAGATTTATTTGTTTAGCAAAGAACACAAAATTATCTTTATTATTTACTCTAAGGCATGTAATTTTTCTTATTTAGCTAATTAAAGAAATTGAAATTACTTGATTACTTACTCCAATATTAAACATCCCAGTAAAATATTCCATATTTGCTTGAATGAACCAAATGTTGCTTAAACCCAGTTCATCACTTCTCTTCTTAGCACGAATTAATGATAATTCCTTGTTTTCTATTAATGTAACCTAGATTTTACCCAGAAAACAATAGTATATTTAGTAACATAACTCAGACATTAGGCAAAGCATTATTACTATCTTTCATAGCTTTAATAATGTAGAACATATGATATTGAGCCTCTATTCTGTGGCAGGAAGTATGTCACATAATCTGGTACAGAAAGGAAAAATTAAAGGTCCTTGAACTATTCTTATAGCATAGTGATATAAGTGAAACAAGCAATAATGATACAGTGTAGGCCAGGTGTGGTGGCTCACGCTGTAATCCCAACACTTTGGGAGGCCGAGGCAGGCAGATCACTTGAGGTCAGGAATTCTAGACTGGCCTGGCCAATATGGTGAAACTCTGTCTCTACTAAAAATACAAAAATTAGCTGGGTGCAGTAGTGTGCGCCTGTAGTCCCAGTTATTCGGGAGGCAGAGGCAGGATAATCTCTTAAACTCGGGAAGCAGAGGTTACAGTGAGCTGAGATCGCACCACAGTACTCCAGCCTGGGTGTCGCAGGGAGAATCTGTCTCAAAAAAAAACCAGCAAAAAAACAAAAACAAAACCAAAACCAAAAACAAAACCAACCAACCAAACAAAGAAACAGAAAAAACAAAAACAAAACATCAAAAAATAATAATAATACAGTGTGATAAGCGTTAAATGAAAGACAGACAATGTCGACGGGAGCACTCAAACTTGATGACTATTTTCATGGGGAAGTAACATATTAACTGAGGCCTAAAAAATGAATACAAATCAGTTGGGGGAATGGAAGAGTATTTTAGGGAGAGAAACACACATGAAGGCCCAAGATGATAAAGAATATGGCGTGTTTGAAGAACTGAGAAAATTGGTACACAATTTCCAGGGCACAGTCTGTAATGTATGGTATGGATTGGTGGGAGCAAGGCCAGAGGGCAGAGAAACCAGTTAGGAGCCTCCAGTGATAATCTAGGCAGAGAAGATGGTTTGAATGGAGAAAAATGAAAAGAATTAAGTCACTTTCATCACAATCATTCCTAGTTCTTATTTTGTTCTTATGCTTGTCTGTAAGAAAAAATCTGTTTAAAAAACCTGATACTTGATATGAAAGGCTTTCCTGACTCTATTCTAGACAAGATTACTCATTCTTGGTTCCAACCTTTCTAAGCTTCCAGAAATATTAATAAGGGGAAAATATATTACATCCCTGACTCGGCTTCTCAGAATTTTACTCTGTGAGCTCTCTTCCTCCTACTCAATGACAAAATTGTTGCTTTACTTAATAATAAAACAAACACCTGCCTCTTCTCCCAGGATTCCTTATTTATTTTCCTGTTTATTCTCTAAGCAAAGAAAAATAAAAGAATGCTGTTCCCTGTCCCCTTGTCATCATTCTGTTACATGTTATTCTGGCCAGTCTATTAATTCTTCCACATTTTTTTTCTCCCGGAAGTATTCACTATAATTAGTTCACACCTTCCAGAGGGCTCACAGCAAAGACTCTGTTGCAGTTGAGTTTGTATTAAAAACAAAACAAAACAAAAACAAAAATAAACAGACTTTTATGCTACAAAGTGGTCACAGTGAGGAACTGATTTAACATGGCAGAGGACTAAAATCAGCAAAAAATTCTAAGAAATTGTGGCAATGATTGAATACATTATGATATATTTACTTGAAAATATATTTGGTACTCTCTGAAATATGATGATATGTAAAACTATTAGCAATAGGGAAAAACATTTATGATACAATATTGAGTGAAAGCAAGGGACAAATTTTGTTTGCATCTTTAAAATTTGCAACAATAAGCATCCATATGGACAATGACTTAATGAGAAAAAGAAAAGCAAAGCATTTTGATGGATCAGGTATTGTAGGTTTGGGTTTTTTTTTTTCCTTAAAAAATTTTGCTATTGTTATAATTTCAATGCAATGCATCTAAATCAAGATACCAAAAGAACATGCTCAGCAAGTTTCAGAGGTCAGTATTTCCATTTAAAATTATGTTGAAAATTAAACTAGTTGAATCATAATTATTTTATTTAGCAATAAAATAGCTATTTCTTTGAAAAATTACTTAAACCTATAAACCTCTTAAAAATTGATAACTGTTTTATGATCTTACTTTACTTTTTTTTCCTTAAGATTCTGAGTCTTGGAAGTTTATTTGAAAGAAAAGACAATGCCTGTGCCACATATTTGACTTGGGTGATTAGAAACCCCAGAGATAAACCAAATGTGGCTAACTGAACTGTATAGTTTTTAAATATTTCCTTTTATCTCTTATTCTGGCTTTACCTGACATGATGGCAGCATGTGAGCAAGGACAATTCCAACATGGCCCTGAAAAAGTCAGTGAGATAAACAAGTTAGCTTTGGTCCCCACAGCTTTTCCTCATTCTGAAACCACAATCTTGCCAAATAAAAATGTGACCCTCAATATAATATAGAAAAGTCTCATAATCTTAGAAAGACTAAAAAAGATGAAAGGAGAGATATAATACCCCACCGCTGCAGAAATCCACAATTCTGTCACCAGGTTTGGCCTGATTTGTTACCACATAGACAAGGTTGTTCAACTGTTGCTGCTTCCTCAAAGCTCGATCACTGGACATTTTACCTGAGAAAGACAAGACATAAAGAACACAAAACATTATATATTTTGAGGGAACAAGAAGACACACTTAAAATAGGCTACCAGCATAGAGGAGGAGGAAGGGGGGGAGCATACACACACATACATACATATAAAAGAATAAATGATGAATTCCATATAACAGACTATGAGGACTAGAGGACTAGAACCTGAGATGAACTTTATTTTTGCTTGTTTTACTTTTATGTCTATTCAACATTTCTTTCAATAGCCATTGAAAGAAAATCTATGGGGAAAAATATGTCTTTTAAAGCATGGAAATAATAACTGAAACACTAAATTTAGGGTCATAAACCAAGTATCCAATAAATGTTGGCAGAATGGAAAAAATAACAGTAATTGTCTTCTCCCTTTATCTTTTTTCAGAGACATATTTTAAAGAGTACCTAATTTCAACACATTGCTTAATCTCCTTATAGAGAGATCCATAATCAGTAAAAATATTTTTATTGCTTAATTGACACATCCTTGAACTCTTGATTCTTCTGTGTAGGACACTGGGAAACCTTGAAACATAGGTGTTGCATTGTCTGAAATAAATAAATGGTTATTGTATTTAGAGAGAAATTAGATTTTCTGTTTTCTGCTTTGAAGCTTCTTTTCCTCGTGAGTCAGACATAGAAATATAATGCAATTAGAGATTCAAGATAGGGCATTTCCAAGTATGAAATGCCTGGGGCCCCACAACATAAAAACATCTTAACTTTCCTTTCAAAATCGCTAGTCAAGTCCATGAAAATATCTTCAGAAGAATGAATGAAATTATTTGTTTTTACATATTTCAAGTGCATTCTTTACAAAAGCAAAATTTAGAAAATGTAAGACACCAGATTGCCATGATATAGATAAAAGGGAAAATCCAGATAATCTTTTTGGTTTGATAAAAAATTAAACATACTAAGTTTCCTTGCTCCTTTTTCCCAGAAAAATGGCATGATCTTTTTCTTTTCTTCTCTTTTCTGTTTTCCTTCTCTCTTATGTTACTAAGTTAAAAAGCACAGGAAAATATTATTTTAGGAAAGATTTTTAAATGTAAATAAATTTATATAAGACAAATTTATGGTATCATAATTCAGAGATAACATTTCATGTATATGTATGGTTACTTTCAGTTATATTCATAAATTTTATGTGTTCTAGCATATAAGAAATATTTATAGCATCATAATTCAGAGAACATTTTATGTATATATACGGTTACTTTCAGTTACATTCATAAATTTTATGTGCTCTAGCTAGGTATAAAATATAAAATGTTATATTACAAAATATGAAATATTATATTATTATTAATATAGAGAACATTTTATGTATATATACGGTTACTTTCAGTTACATTCATAAATTTTATGTGCTCTAGCTAGGTATAAAATATAAAATGTTATATTACA